TGCTCCTAGCACATATGTTGGTGTCTCTCACAGAAAGGTCCCGATCTCCCCTTGCGATCGGGACCTTTTCTGATCATGTGAGCGCCGTGACAGCGAGCCACAGCGCTAACATGACCCTAAAACCCTGCTCCGCCTCCTGGCGTCTGAAACCCCCTAAAGGGCCCGGAGGCGCCAGCGTGAAGAGGTTACAAGACGTTTTAGCAGTTTCAGGTTTTGTTGTTTGATTTTTTTGGTTTTGGGGGGGGCGCAAGTAGCTGGTTTTGCCTAGGGCACAAAACAGTCTAACACCGGCCCTAACTGTATATAATCTGTCTTATCTGACAGTAATACAGTTTTAAATATCATTTGGACATTAACCACTTCAATACAGGGCACTTTCATCCCCTTCTTGCCCAAGCCAATTTTCAGCTTTCAGCACTTACGCACTTTGAATGATAATTGATTGGTCATGCAACACTGTACCCAAACTAAACTTTTATCATTGTTTTCACGCAACTAGAGCTTTCTTTTGGTGGTATTTGATCACCACTGGGGTTTTGATTCTTTGCTAGATAAACGAAAAAAGACCAAACATTTTAAAAAAATGTTCTTTTATAAAATTTTGAAAGTAAAAAATAGTTCTTTATAAATGTATACTGCTACATTTCCTTGGTGAAAATAACCCAATTGTGTATATTATTTAGTCTGTAGGAAAGTCACAGAGTCCAAAAACTATTGTTAATATCTGAAAATGAATCAATCCTGATGTACTGATGGCCTATCCCATTTTTTGAGGCCCAAAAAAATTTCAGGACGGTACAGACATCCCCTAAATTACCACTTTTTGGAAAGTAGAAAGTCTGAGGATTTTAGTAAGAAGCATGGTGAGTTTTTTTGAAGTTGTCATTTTTTGTCATAATTTTGTGGAAAATTAAGAAATTAACCACTTGCCCTCCTGAGGATTTACTCCCCATTTATGACCAGGCCATTTTTTGCGTTATGGCGCTGCATTACTTTAAATGACAATTGCGCAGTCACGCAACGCTGCACCCAAATGAAATTTACGTCCTTTTTTTCCCACGAATTGAACTTTTTTTCTGTGGTATTTTATCACCTGTGCTTTTTTTTTTAATTTTTGCACTATAAGACAAAAAAAGACCGACAATTTTGAGAGAAAAAAAACTATATTTTGGACTTTTTGCTATTAAACTTGTCCAGTAAAAAAAATTATAAAATTATAAATAAAAATAAATTTCGTCATAAATTTAAGGCAAAATGTATTCTGCGACATGTCTTTGTAAAAAATATGTGTAAATTAATTGGTTTACGTGAAAGTTATAGCGTTTTCAAATGGCGGTATAGCTAATGGGATATTTTTTCTTTTCTACTAGTAATGGCGGTGATCAGCGACTTTTAGTGGGACTGAGGCGGACATTCTGACACTGGGGGGGGGGGGAACTAACTTGGTGTCATTGACATCTCCAGTGACACCAATACAGTAATCAGTGCTAAAAAAAGCAATGACACTGTACTAATGGCACTGGGCAGGAAGGGGTTAATGTGATGGGCAATCAAAGGGTTAACTGCGTGCTGTATGTGTTTTACTAGGGGGTGGGGGTGTGTTCTTCACTGTAAGCACACTGATTGGGATGGCTGTACTGTGCACAGCCATCCTGAGCTGTGTGCTCGAGCTGATAGGGAGGAAGATTGTTTGTAAACAAAACAATATTCCTCCCCGTCGGAGATGCTAGGTAATCAAAGGGCGTCAGCGGGTAATTACCAGCCAGGACTCGGTGACTGACATCTGCAGCCGCGAATGGCAGTGCGGGTAGGGCGTGCACCCCCTACCCGGAGATGCAAAATCATGTATATATACGTGATTTTGCAAAAAGGTGCCGCCCTGTAGCAGTATATCTGCTATAGGGTGGGCCTTAAGCTGTTAAAAAACATTTATTTCACTTTTTTATTCATACTGTCACCAGTGCAGTAAAGCATCACCATATACCTGGTGTGGCAGTGATCAGGGACACTGACTGGTGACAGTATGAAAAAAAAAAAAGTTTAATTTTTTTAAAACATTTTTTATTTTTATTACTTTTTTTTCTTTTTTTATGAATTTTTTTTTATAATACACTGTGACCAGATTATACTATTACCATAATAACATTGTACTACTCTGAGGAAGTGATCAGTATTTTTTTTTTTAATGATTAAAAAATTAGGATTTTTAATTTATGATTGCTTAAAGCAATTAATTTCATTGCTATAAACAAGTGTTTTACTGAATGAAATTGATTCATTCAGTTTGTTTTGTTGTGATTGGCCACAGCTAATCATATGACACAGATGGGCTGTGATTGTCCAAGTCTGTACCATGTGATCACTGTAACCAATCACAGCTAGCAACACAATTGTATACAATGGATGGTATTAGAGGAAGCCATCCATTGTTTACAATTGTCATGTGACCTGCTGTGATTGGTTACAGCAGTCACATGGTATTGGCAGCGGCCGGCACACAGATCAATCATCGGCTGTGTCTGAGAGGACTTCATATGACTCCTGGGGTTAATATGTTAGTTTACATGAAACCAAACATACATAATTATGTATAACCCCTGTCAGTTTTTTTCTTTTTTGGGCATCCATGTTCCATAGCCACAACAAACAGGTAATCTGAGGATATCCCTCCAAAGTGAGGGAAATCTCTGTAATTACCAGGGTCACTAGAACTAGTGTTCCTATTAGAAGATTTCCCCTCTATTTCTGTTCTGGTGGCCAATCCGATTTTGGAATTTTCTTTTGCTTAAATTCTCAGTGAATAGAGTAAACATGACAGATAAAAAGGATGAATCTCCCTAATGGGACACAGACAGCAATAAAAAAAAACCTGACAGTGGTTCTAATCCTGCGGACACAGCGGAACACTGATCGCTGTATGTGACCTCTGTGTGAGGTCCCGATCATGTGATCACTGATTGGCCAATCAGTGATCACATGAATAGGAGTAAGCAAGATGTCACTTCTGATATAATTGCTTACTACCTGTGAAATCTGTGAATAATCACAGAGATCACTTGGTACAAGGCTATTCACAACAGCCTTGTACCATGTGAAGAGCTGTGACCAATCACAGCTCACACAGTATTTCTCAATGGCTGCAAGAATGCAGCAAGAGAGAAAGAGAAATGATTGCTTTTACAGCCTTTATGGGTGTAAAAGCAATCCGTGTAAAAAAAAAATCTTCATCACCCCCCACAAGCAGTACATAGTGACACTGTACTGCTTGGGTGACAGTATGTTAAAAAAAACAAAAACACATAAAATAAAAATGTAAAAATAATTTTTTGAAAAATTATAATTTTTAGATATAAACTAATTTGGGTTATTTATTTATTTTTTTTACTAAAAAGATAACTGAATACATTTTGGCCAAGATGTATGAAGAATGATTATTTATTTGCAAAATTTTCTAAGAAAAACACTTTTTAAAAAAATGTTTTGGACTTCTTCATTTATTTAGCAAAAAAAAAAAAAAAAATCCCAGTGGTGAATAAATACCACCAAAATAAAGTAGTATCTGTCTCAAAAAAATGCTAAAAAATTCATATGGGTACAGTGTTGCATGACCGCGCAATTGTCATTCAAAGTGTGACAGCACTGAAAGTTGAAAATTGGCCTGGACTGGAAGGGGGTAAAAGTATCCGGACATGAAGTGGTTAAAAAAACATGAAGGACAGAAGACACATCTCTAATTGTTGGCAGGGTAGAGGTCAGTCTGTATTCATTACTAATGACAGACGAAGTCCGTTAAGTCACCAGATTAAAACGCTAGATGAAACTATCTCTACACTCTCTGAATGCATAGCAGACAAAACACTAAAGAGAGCACACTTATTTCCTGGGCTTCCTTTACCATTTTCTTAAGCTCAATGTCAATGTCAGAGATGAGGGGAGCAGGTGGATAGAGACTAGTTTGAAGACAACCAAAATGAAATTGTTTCTTGTGTCTTACCCTGGCAAGTTGGCAAGAATGCAAAAACACAAACTCCCTGCACACATTTACAAAATATAAGCTCCCACTCCTGACACTCCTAGTCAGTAAAATCTACTCTCCAGCAGATTACCACATAGGTTTTTGCAACAGACACACACTACCCTGTAAGACACAAGAGAAATGACTAACAGAAAGCACACCAGCATCACGTGACATCATCATAGAACCTTTATTAACCTCCTTGGCGGTTTTCCCGAGTGTAGCTCGGGGTAGAATTTCTATACCAAGAACGGTAACCCCGAGCTACACTCGGGCTTACCATGCAGCGTTCTCTGGGGGTCCCTGCAGCACTTACCTTGTCCTTCGCTCCCACGATGGGTCCCCTGCAGCGTCCCGTCCTCCGGCGGATGCTGGCATCTGGCTTCCGTGTTCCGGTCCCCGTGACGTCGGAACGTTCGGGCGGCGGAACCGGCGGGAAATTTGAAATTTTTAAAAAATGACATTTTTGCTGTCATTGCTTTTTCACTGCATTTCACATACATTTTGTCCCTACTGCTTTGTCCTGTGCCCTGCCTGCATTTTGACTGTTCTTTCTGCCTGGAAACTTAGAAAAGTCCATGGCGGCCAAAAAGCATCCCTTTACATCAAAAGCGGTTTTAGAACAGCGATAGTAAATCAGAACCACTTGCAGAATTGAGTGATAATGATTTGTGGGGAAATTCGTCATCAGACACTGAAAACGATTTTGCGACTTTGCTCAGCGATGTGCGAATTTGCCTCTGTATTTCAAATTTCAGTGTTTTTGGTTTGATTATATTATTGAATTAAATTTATTATTATTATATTATTATTTTTTATGATTATTTATTAAATTATAATTTATGATTTCGTGTTTCAAGTTTTATCATATCCGGAATGTTTAATAGACTCTTTTTCGGATAGATTTCAGTGAGTTATTCCTAAAAATTACAGCCTACAATTAAAAACTACATATTTCCATGCAAAAAAATGGTACCGCTTTCAGCACAAAATTCCTGACATGATCATACCGCCAGGGAGGTTAAAAAATAGTATAGACCAGGGGCGGACTGACAACTCATGGGGTCCCCGGGCAATAGAGGATCATGGGGCCCCTGTGTCCTTGCCCACACTCAAAAAAGCCTATGAAAAGGTACCAGGGGCATCTCATGGGGCCCCCTACTGACCCCGGGCCCTCGGGCAGTGCCCGAATTTCCAAATGGTCAGTCTGGCCCTGGTATAGACTGACACTTACAAACTTTTGTATACATTACAAAGATTGTTATACATTATTAAACAGTAGATGAAATTCCCATAACTGATCCCATTAGAGTGAATGCAGCCACTGTCCCTGGGTGCATAACTCTTGATAGGTTTCACAGCCAAACCTTCTTCATCAGAGTTCCTGGATATTTTTATGGCATGACAAGTTTGTAAAGACTGTTTAATAGAATAAACTAAAACAAAAACAACCTGCGCCACAAGAACTATGTGAAAAAATTGAAAGTGAATGCTGCTGTGCCTTGATAAGAATAAAAAAGATTGATAAAAATAAAAAAATTTGTGAAACAATACATTTTAGATTTTTTTTTATTTTGATGGTTTTGGACATTTATTTTATAACCACAGAATTTATTATGATTTGTGTTTAATAATTTTTGCTTCATTTCATGTTTTGCTCTGTTTTATTATTTCACTGTTTATTAGAATATCCTAATTAAATATCCTAATTAAATGTATTTAATATAAAGCCCATCTCTGGCTTCTCCCACTGACCTTAACTTACCTACTTTGACAAGAAGAAGCTGTCACTAGTACAAATGTGCAGCTCGGTTTTGGCCAATCTGGGATTTTACCAATTCAGTGTAGACTGCAGTGACTGCTTGATTTGATCTGCTGGGTGAAGACATAATTGGAATTGATGAACCCTTTATCAGTTTACTTTTGCATCCTGCCCAGGTAACCCACCACACTTGCGGACATATAGTCAGTCAGCCTGATATAGAAATATTTTTTGGTGTTTGGTGGCCCTGTGGGTGCACAGCAGCATTTTAACTAATACCGCTCTGGAAGTTTTTACCCCCTTCATGACCAGGTAAATTTTTTTAACTATACCGCACTGTGCTACTTTAACTGGTAATTGCACTAAATTTATAGTGTTTTTTCACACGGATAGAGCTTTCTTTTGGTGGTATTTGATCACCACTGGGTTTTTTAATTTTTTTTGTGATATAAATGAACAAAAACTGACAATTTTGAAAAAAAAAAACCCATGATATTTTTTTACTTTCTGCTATAAAACATGTCCAATAAAAAAAATGTTAAAAATCAAATTTCTTCATACATTTTGCCATAAATGTTTGCCGTTACATGTCTTTGATAAACAAAACCCCAAATAAGTGTATATCGATTGGTTTGTGTAAAAGTTATAGTGCCTACAAACTATGGTGTATATATATATATATATATATATATATATATGTAGCGCTATTTGTACACTTTTTGCGGCTACTGGGGTATGATGGCGCCACCTGTATAGTATTTAGGAGCAGAATCCTTATAATCTGTGTGATCAGGACAAGATCTCTAACAAGCGCTAGTGCCTCCACTCAATTGGGGCTTGTGGATAACAAGTGAAATCCCAAATGAGAAATGTATCATCCACAGACAGTAATCCACACAGCAGTGTATATGAATGTCCATGTATTGAAGAAATAACATTCAGTGAACCATCCAACATAAAGTATCTTCAAAACAAGAACATTAAAGCATTAACAGTCTTTTCTGCATGTCTCAGTGAGGGGAGGCTGCAACACTTACAGTCTGAGTTCTCTCTCTCTCAGGAGACACCACACTTCCCTCTTTTTCACAAGTCTCTCTCTGATGACCTCATCCTCAGTGCCCAGAGAGCATAGCAGCCATATTGGAAAAGGGCAAAACAAACACTGCATAATAGAAGTATACACCGGAAAATGGGCAAAGAAATTATCACATCACTACATATATATGGATTTTTTTTCTAATGGCAGCGATCAGCGACCTAAAAAGGGACTGCGGGAGTGCAGCGGGCAATCTGACACTAACTGCCACTGACATCACCAGTGATCAGTGATAATACTATACACTGTCATTGTACTAATGACATTGGCTGGGAGGGGATTAACATCTAGGGTTATCAAGGGGTTAAATGTGTGCATAACTTTAGGTAAGGTGTGTAAAGTGTGCTGCTTTTACTAAACAGTCTGTAAGTTTCACATCCCTGCTTTGCAGGTTGAGAAACGGACAGATCACTCCCTCTGTACAGAGCTCTGTGTTGTTTACCAACACAGAGCTCTGGGCTGTGATTGTACACAGCCAATCAGCAGGTCCCAGCCATGAATCATGACAGGCTCCTGCTGTGTACACAGCACAGCGGGTGTCTCCAGAGGGGTGCGTGCACATGCCTGGAACCCAGAAGTAGACAATTACCTGTACATTGCTTTGTCTACAGCAGCCACCCATCCGCAGTACGATGTGACTGGACTATACTAAGTCAAGTAATTCCTTTTGGCTGTGCAGCAATACATGTTTTTGTAAGGCAAATATCCATTTATTTAATGACCTTGAACAAATATGGTCAGGGGTCCTTCACTGTGGAAATCAGTGGGTAAGTGGTCCAAAAGATAACTTTGCCGAATCATTTCTATTTCAACAGATTATCATAATTTCTCTGTAAAACAGATTGCACAGTGCCAGATCTGGCACCAGAACAGATCCTTATGGAGCAGCACATCACTGACCATTAATTCCGACTGGGAGAGCCAATAAAAGCAAGCCACAGGGCCATATTGTAGCCAACCCTCTGTTTTTACTTTACCATTGAATGCATTACTGTACAATGAATTCAGAAGTCATTTGTCCAAGTATAATCTACTGAATTATATCAAAATCCTAAAAAGAAAACACCGAACCATGCTGTGAATTAAAAACACAAACCAAAAAAAATGTATACAACTTATCACACTAGCAACTGTAAAAATATCATAAAATGATATATGTACAAATAATAAAAAATCACTTGGCGCAATTCAGAAACCATACTGTGCAAAAATAGTGCTGAAAAATGAATACATAAAAATATTGACCAACTTTAGTTAACTGGTCACATTAGTCTGGTGCATTTGTTTCTGTTGGGGAGTTCTCTGGTAGTGGAAATGGGTTCTGTCTGTGTTCTGCCTCTAGCAGGGGAATATGTTATGCCTGTTCTGCCTGCAATATGACATTTTAAAACTAGATGGAGCCGGTAATATATTTACTGTTTTACAGAAACTAGAGACTGTCTAGATAAATGTTAATAACAATTCCCATAATTCTGAGAAAAACAATAGAGATGCATCTTGGGAGCTCAGATTCCATCTTAGAGACTGGGAGAGAAGGAGCCAGCTATCAGGCACATGTTGGACTAAGGCTTTCATATTTTTACATCCCTTAAAGACAACATCGCTGGTAGGTTTGGACTTTCTGCCGTCTATAGCATTCATTGTGCTTTCTGTATGTTTTTACATTGATTATATCTACTTCTTATCTGTTTTTTTTAATAGTTTCACCCAACCCTGTTTTGTTAATTAAACTTCAAGATTACACGCAGTCTGGATTATTGCAGAATAGGAGGGTTTAGCTGTACATCGAGCTACACACAGGTAAACATGTAGTGAAGACAGAACAGTCTGCCTATGAATTACCTGATGCTGCTTTTCACTTACCTGATTGCTTTGTGCACTTTATTGAACTCATTTATCACATGCTGCATGTTAGCACCAATGTCTTATTCATTCATTTATTTTTTTTAGCTGTGTTTTTTTCTGGAAGGCACTGAGCACTGTTTTTATAGTTTATAGATATAAAAATGCAAATCCAAATATATCTGGAAAGACATGGGCAAATTTACAATTCCCTTTTCATATCTAAAATCATTTCCAACTCTATCTGCATTTTTTAGAAATGTTTTTATGGTCATTTGGGCAAATATTTTGTGGGAATGTGGTGGGCAAATAAAATGACTAGTTTATGTTTGAATTGCAGTTAAGAAAAAATATCATGCAATATGTACAAATTCCAGAAGATGTCACTGTTATACATAGAAAGTAAGGCTACTGACTTGCATAGCTAGTTAAATTCCACTCCTATGACTGAAGTATAGAAAAACACAATGAAGAAAACAATTGTTAAAAATAATATTGTGCATAATACTGTGAAAATAAATAAATAAATAAATAAAAAATAATATATATACACAGTGTATATTATTGTTTTGTTATATTCTATATTCTGTTATTTATTTTCTTTATTTTGAGGGGGGGGGAGTGTATGTTTATATAAAAAAAATTTAAAAATTTGAAAAAATGAATGTTTGGGTGTGACTGTGATTTTCAATCAGGAGAATGCAATGCAGATGGTGGTGGCTATCTGTCCAGGTGAAGTAAGGTTGTCCACTAGGTGATCACATATGGTAAAAATTGGGCTTATTGCCAGCATTAATAATATTAAAGAGATTATGGGGCTGTTTTTCCTGGAAAAGGTTGTAAGCTTTGTTATAGGTTATGTTTGTATATGTGAGGAGTGAATGGGCATGTTGAGACCGATCTATAGAGAAAAAAGGCATGCATGTGCGAGATGTTTGAAGTAGGAAATGCTGGAATGTGTATTCCTACAAAATCTGGAAAGAGAGAGGTGGGAATTGTAGTTCTATAAACCTAGGTGAGGGGAGTAGTGGAAGCTGGTGACCTGACTTTTCTCTACTGAGGTTCATCAATACAGTTTGGTCCAGGGGCGGACTGACCATTTGGAAACTCGGGCACTGCCTGAGGGCCCGGGGTCAGTAGGGGGCCCTATGAGATGCCCCTGGTACCTTTTTCATAGGCTTTTTTGAGTTTGGGCAAGGACACAGGGGCCCCATGATCCCCTATTGCCCGGGGGCCCCATGAGTTGTCAGTCCGCCTCTGGTTTGGTCTCTTCCCTACACAAAGGCTGTAACTGGACAGTAAAACCCAAGCAGTAGAATGATTTGGTCCTCCCTCTGCTCTCTGACCCTGTCAGCATGTTGCCGGTCGGTGCTTGTGTACTACTAGCACGTCATATTGGCTCTTAGCTGTCCCTTAGCTTTAACCTTCATTTACATCTCATTATGGTAAATCCTGATCGACTTCTGCCCTGCATCCTAATGAAATGGATAGCCCAATCCTATTTCATATTCAGTTA